CGTCGGGAACGAGCATTAACCGAACACGGCTCACCGAATTGTTACGGAACGGAATGATTCCCCGCGACGTTGCCAGCGATATATTCGCGTCAGAAAGAGTACAAATGGAACTGGGAGACAGACCGATGATCTGAGTCAGTCCGAGACGTTTCTTCTTTTGAACTGTGGTTGATCGATGACGCCGTACTAACGTTTGCTAACGATGCGATTTAGCAGAAATATTCAAAACGTCGAGCTGCGAAATTCCAATCCGGTGATTTTATTTTAATAAATTAACGCGGATATAATAAATTAATGTATCCACGTCGTTTCGAATCGACGTGGACGAATAATCCCTTTAAACGAAGCGCGGGCAATATTTTCACGCGCGCCGCGTTTTAACGAAACGGAAAATGAACCTCCATGGATATTCGTAAAATCAACACGTCGCCACCGCTTGCAATGTTCGCGGGTTTATCGATAATCGATGTTTACAATTGTAACAAATTACGGAAACCAGAAGCCGATAAACACGTTCGCTTTAATGTCGCAATTTACGCGTGAAATCTACTTATCTACCAAATAAATTGTCCTTAGCCCCCGAACGCGTTTTGAACAATTTCCATCCGACACTTGTATGTTACCATTTAACGGGAATCTCACACCGAACGCATTCAAACATTTCCACGAGCTTCGGGAGATAACGCCGGTCAGGAAAGACTCGAGAATCGTCAATTTATAGAACTCAGCTTCTATAAATAGAATAGAAGACGTCGAAAATAATTCTAAAGTGATAAACTAATTCCAATCCTAAACGGATAAACTCTGTTGTGCAAGAGGATCTAGCTGTTCGATTATCATAAATCAACAAAACAAGAAGCAATGAACGAAGCCTCACGAATCCACTTTCGAAACCTGGTCGAGCGACAAAAGACACGTGGAATTAATCGCATTCCGTGTCTTTTCTCCGTATTTCCTCCCTTTCTGACCACTTTCTTTTCCTTTTTTTTTTTTTTTTTTTTATCCCCTCGTATCCTCGCTTCGTTTCGCGTCCGCAAGCTCCGATGGTTAATCTTACGCTCGCCGCGAGCGTGACCCAGGCTGAATTTTAAATCTGACGTATTACACGCGTAGCCGGTGTACAGAGTCGGAAGGACATCTACATAGAGGCAAGGAATTAGCATAAGCCATTGTCCTGCCAGCGGCTCGGCCAGGAGAATGGTATCTGAAAGCTCGACCAGTCTACAATAACCCTTTATACAGCGCAGGTGGAGTACTGTTATAACCGTAAATCGCATGAAAACGTATCGCCAGCGCTTTCGCGGTTCTACTCGCTCGACCAAAGGAATTACGACTTGCCAATTAACCGATTATTATCGGCTGTGGCCAGATATCGCCAATTCTCAATTATATATATATATACACGCAGGGATGTCTTGATAATACGGGCTAAACGCGATAATCGTTCCTCTTATTGTGCGCGACTGAAATTGATTTAAACGATCGAGCATCGATCGTGGTATGTCGTGTTCGAATAGAAGTTTCACTGACTCTAACTGTGTAAAATAATATGTGTTGCGATTGGATAGAAAGCAAAACGAAGAAAGACTTATTTATATAACGGTTAGTTGTTTGATAAGTCGTTGAAGAAATCTTTGATTTGGACTCATAGAATTATTAATTCCTCATATAAATGAGTGATTGAAATTCCTTGACTCGTAAAATTATTAATATATGGGTGACTAAAAGAATCTTTGAAGGTAAACAAGAAAGATGAAAATTGATTTGATATTCTTTAACTAATTAGTTCGTAAAAGAATTGGAGAATAGAAAAGAATGGGTGGTTCAAAAAATATTCGAAAATTTGAGTTTGTCAAATTATTTAGCTGGCAAGAAAATTCTTTGAGATTGATGAAGATGGATGATTGAAGAAACATTCGAATGAGAGAACGAAACAAACGGAAAATAAATTTTATGTAGGTCAGTATGCTATATTTGGTTCACAGGGCTGGAAGTAGATTGTAAATTGTAGGTTACTTCGTTATTAATATCGCGTGCAAGAGTACGTGGGAAGTTTCCTGTGATCTTAATTACTCCTTCGATTAAGCAGATACTGTTTCATCAATCGTCATTGAATCATTATTGTACAAATGCGTTCTACTAATACGTTCGTAGAACCTTTTTGTAAAGTCCTATCGTCGTCCTCAAAATATTCAATTGTCGGAAAAATCCTGTACACTCCCTTTCAATATAAAAATCGCATTAGATATCAGGGATTTGCGAGTGACGTAACATATATTTTCTCTCTCTATCTCAGAGAAGAGGAAACAAACAGTGACGTACTAAGAAACGTGATTCATTTCGTTTCGTTTAAGATTTCAATTTTCCCGAACTTCAATTCTAAGAAAAAAAGAGAGAGAGAAGAAGTATGTATGAAATTTCCTTATGTTAGACCAAGCTTATGACAAAATGACTCACAGAATGACTCGCGAAAGATGGCAAAAATGCAGTAGACTCTCTTTATTAATATACGTTACAGAGCGAAAATAAAATTAAAATATTTCGCTCGCGTAAGACGGACATAAAAGAAGATTCAATCATCGGTTTATTATTTTTTCCCAATTACTGTCGCGGTAAAGAGTTACGCAAAACAGCCATTACGAACGCTTTTCATATCCACGCCTTGTAATTGCGACATTTATGTAATTTGTTGTGCAATTTATGTAATTGCGCGTTTAATTTTTACAGACTTTGGTGCAATGATCGATTATAGTCACGCGATAAAATTTTTAATAGATCGACATAATAATTAAACAGTAGTGACAGTAATTTACCTAGACTAAATTACGTTCAATTACGATGGCACATTAGTAATTTTAAATTATAATTTTCAACAGGGCTGGAATATCACGAGATACAACGATCGATTAAAATAATCAATTCCTAACTTTTCTTCGTTTGTAATTCTACCAGCCTAAAATTTCTAGCCGCCGATGCGACAGCCTGTTATTGTCAAAATGGCAAGAGTGAAAAGTACACCGAGTAAAAGAAAATTAGTTGCTGGAAGTTTGGAACTTGTCCAGCCGATAATTGAAAAGATTCTATCGCGATTCTGCCGTGGGACATGTTAATCGAACGCGGCCAGGCCTCTTTGTCCCTGTCGAAGGGGCAGAAACGCTCGCGAGGGAAATAGAAGAAAAAAAAAGGTAGAATCGTACGAGCACATGACACAACACACACGACGAGCGTCAAGCTGAGAATAGAAGAGTGTTTTGATAAATGACGGAGCGAAGCTCTCGGAGGAAAGGCGCGCACATGTCTCCGGTTCGCGTCTCGAGGAACTCGCCAGAAAGTCTGCCCCTGTCTCGCGGCATATGCGAATTGTGTGTCAGGAGGATCGTAAAAATCCGAGAGCAGCCGGGAACCCGAGGATTTTTCGGTGAATTTTCACACGAGAATGTCCCGACCATAGGCCCTCACGTCCCTCTCCCTCCACTGCCGTTCAATTAAGTTCCAACGACGGAAACACGTGAACCTACTTTACCCGTTTAAAATCGTGCCTTATTCAGCGGAAAACGGGCGAGGAAAACCGCTTTGCCGCTTTCGATCGACGATCTTCCATTAATTGAAACTCCATCGAGCCCACGTTTTCCCCTCCGCTTTCGAAAATTGCCCCGGTTGTATTTTGTCCAAGGCCGATTAGGGAACCGAGACTTTTTCCCAGCGGATCGCCGCGATCGAGGAAATGCTTGGGAATTTCGAATATTCGCTTCGGTGATAGGTGAAAAATAGAAGAGCAGAGTCTACGGTGTATCTCTGAAGTAAATTGAAACTGATGAAAAGATTGAGCAATACAGAGTGATCCAGAGTAACTCGAAAGAAAGTCCACCAAAATAACGCGTATGCTATTAGAAATACTTAACCAGCGGATTATAACACGATCTTTTCAGAGAATTTGTTAGCTTCTCAAAAGATAAAATTATGATAATCCTCTGACTGGAGTAGAAAAGTTTTTCGAAGCTTCGAAACGTTGAATGCAGAAATAATCCTAATATCTCTCATGAGTCATCAAGCGCCTGTCTGCTTAGATACTTGAACTATTTCCTAATTTACATCGATTAGCGTGATTCCGAACAAGAAGCTTCTAATGCCAACAAACTAACGAAAAAAATCAAACCGTTCAATCCCATGCCACCAGGTACTTATATTTTAACGTGTTATTTTCTTATTCGATGGTACATAACATCACGTACGCGAGTAGCATCTCGACTCGGGGGGGAAACACGAAGAGCAAGGCCGAAAAACTGGCGAAAGAAGCGGGCGAATGCGGCGCGCGGCCTCGTAATTATGTCACAATTGTACGCGGCGCGCGTATGTGGCGTAACACTCGGATAAGCGGAGTAACGAGACCGATAAAAATGTATGAAGCTACTATTTTTAGAGTTTTTATACGAGTTTCGTCGTTAATGCGACAGATCGTCGAACGGTTATCTGACGAGAAGATCGACCTCTCGAAGCTATCTCGAAATTCAAAATTCGAAAAGTAAAGTCAACAACTGGGAAAGAAACGATCCAAGAAGCAATAAAACAGCGTAATCCAAAAATAATCATCCGTTAATCAGCCAAACTACGTTTATGTCAATTAATATTCACTGCATATCTTAACTGTAAATACTAATATACTCTCCTGTATGTTCCAAGGAAAAATAAAGGAATTGTATAATATTTGCCTACTATGTGCTCATAGTCATAATCCCGTACATAATAATTAATATTCAGTCACTAATTACAAATATTAAATCTCAAACTATTTTCCTCTCGTATATTCCGACGAATGAAAAACTTCTTCGCCAGCTACGTGCTCCTAACTACCGTCGTTTCTTAGATAATTAAAGTTCCATCACTTGTTAATCCTAATGTACCATGACTGTAATAAATTTTGTAATAAATTTCAAAGTCCTTGGTCTACGTTGCAAGAAGGTCCGAAGGAAATATAAATATAATAATATTTATCCACTAACCACGTGCTCCTGATGGCCGTCATTCCCGCTGAAGATCGGCCGGGACCGCGGCTTGAAAACCGGAAAACCCCTCTCGACACTAGTATGAGAGCCGAAGGAACGACAACGCACACCACCTCCGCGGACGGGAGTCGGCCACTGACTGAACGTGACTCTGATTCTCTGGAACCGGGAGGAGGCTGCGTCGACCGGTCAGGGACCACGAGCCTGCGGCCTTCTGACACTCAAGTCACCGTCAATTTCTCCCTCTTCCCTCTCTCTCTCTCTTTCTCTCTCTCTCTCTCTCTCACACACACTCACTCTCTCTCTCTCTCTCTCTCTCTCTCTTTCACCGGGCTGTTGCATTTCGTTTACACTTGTCTTTTATTTTTTTTCTTTTTTTTCTGTCGATAAACAGACGGTCCTTTTTACACCGACTAACAGAATCTGAGTCTTCAGACACGTTGGTTTGCTTTCGTTCGTTAAGCTCGCTCGCTTACTTTCGTTCGTTCTTCTCCCGGTCGTATATATTGCCGATATTGAGAGACTCGAAGACGGTGAGTATGTACGTACTTCGAAGCAGTGGTAATTTCATTGCTGAGTCTTGGGATCGTTACGAGTCTCTCTTTCGAGAGATAATAGACGTTTCGAGCCGTAATTGAATGTACTTTACACCGGTGTTTCAGTTTGAGGACCTTGTTAGTTGGTTTTTGCTAATCGTTTGCTAAATGTATTCACGAAATGGAGAAGAAACGAGAGGTTCTAACGAGAAGGTGTTACTTCGAACGTTATTTCATTTGCACGCTGCATTTCGTTACGAGAGCATTATTATAAATACAGTAAAAATTCTGCAATTCTCCAAGTCTCCTATGATAAAATATCTCTTTCAATCCTACGTTTCAATTCTTATATTCAACGTGATATATTTCTATTTCTACAGATAGGTTGCAATCGGGAAACAATTTCCCTTGCCGATGTTTCAAGGACACGCGTGTAAAATCCAAGAGCAAAACGGAGCAAGACACTTGTGACCCAGTGATGGAATCAGTTTCAAGGGCGAGTGGACAGGAAGAGCAATGAGTTCTGAAAATTCATTCAGCCGCTCATTCACTCCGCTCGCGAACGTCTTAATGAAAAGTGAGCCGACAATTTACGAGCGATCGTTCGATACGAACGTAGAAACAGCCGATGAATAATGGAACGCGTGCCCCTCTCGCGATAGCCTCTTAATAGTAACCAGCTACACGATTTCATCGTAATGGAATACCCGAACGACGGAAGAAGAAAGACAAGCGAAATTGATCGACGGAGAACCAACGAAATGGTTGATTAAATCTCAGAGGGAGGTTATCGCGTTGCCAGCGATCGCATCCGCGTGTATATCCCGTGGGCCAGGTTTTCACGATCCTGGTTAGATTTGTACTCTCGATCATCTCGAACGAGGGAAACGTACGACGTGCCTCACGCTCGAAAGAAGCTCGATACAACAGAAGAAAGTTTTAACGACAAGATTTAATAGCCAGGGAACCGGCGGTAAATCGTTTTAACAATCTATGTGCGCAGAACCAATTGTTCCACCGACGTTCCTTTTCCCAGTTTTCTGCCCCGTTTCCTTTTTCCAACCCGGTTGCTTCCACTTTTCCTCGATGCTCGAGACGTTCCGTACCGTTGCGAGCAACTCGATCTCGCTCTTGAGAAACAACTACCTTAAGCTCGTCGTCGTGAAATTTATCGAACATTTGAGGGAAAAAAAAGTGATGGATCTTTTGCAATTATATTCTTCTATTCTTAATTTTTTTTCTTTTCTTTTCTTAGCAATTTCTATACTCTGTCTTTCAGTGTTACAGCTATGAAAAAGAATTCCTCGAGAACCTTGAACAGGGAATTTTTACTACATTATTAGAAGAGACACTGGCGAACGAAATGTCGGACGTGCGGCTTTCGTCCACTGTGTAAAATAGAGAATGATCTGAGAATGATCAAAAATCCTTTGAACGCAAATTTCCACTGTATCACGTACACGTATGTATGTACGTGCACTCTGTCACTGCCGATCGATCAACCACGCAAAGCCGTGAAAGAAAATATCGACCCAACGACTGTCGGACGTTGCGTTCGCCAGGATCTCGAGACGAGTGCGTATTCACGAAAGAGAAAAAAACGACGTAAATCGATCCATTAGGACTAACCGTGTGCATCGGCGGCGCATCGTGACGGATGACAGTTCCCCGTCCAGCGGGAATCTTTCGACAAGAAGCCTCCTCCTCCTCCTCCTCCTCCTCCTCCTCTTTCTCTTCTTCTTTCTACTATCTCTTTATTCCGTTAATTCACGAGACCGGCACTTGCTAGTCGAGTCCTTGCGAAAGGACACGCGCGTGCAACTCACGAGAGGAAACTGACCGAAAGAAGCGCGGTACACGAACAGAAAACCGACCCCCGATACTACTGCCGAGCTGCTCTCGGTTCGAGCCGAGAGCGAAAGAAAGAGAGAGAGAGTAGAAGAGTTACGAGAGAAGAAGAGAGATAGAGTCGAGGTTGGAGGCGGAGATGGACGTGGAAGAGGCGAGAGGGACGGAAAACGAAGCGACAGGGTGGAGGGCCGAAAGAGAAGAGAAAAGAAGAGAAAAGAAGAGAAGAGAAGAACCGAAGGGTGGGAGAGAGAGAGCCTGGTGGGGACTTCTTGCTCATTCATACTCAAACGCCTCCGCAAAATTGCAAGTACATACCGTGGAGACGGTCGCTTCTTCACCACGCTCCAACTGGCAGCGATACGCTGCTTGATTAACGAATTCGTTGCACTCGGTTTGATCCTGCTCGAAAGATCCGACGGCGAGAGTTTTCGAACGGAAACGGGACGGTGATTCACGAAAAGATTCCCTTAGGATTTGTTCGCTCTTCTTTCTCTGAATTCAATCCAGCCAGCCAGTTTGAAAGGGGAAGGCTTCATAAGTAAGGATCAGCCATGTTTGCAGATTTACGTTTGTGGAATTTGCGGTTAAAGAGATCTGATGCGAGGGTTGGGTTTTACATTTGGCACTTTCGTCGAGGGAATCTTTGAAGATTTACGGATAGTCCGTGAAGATCGTGGCGCCTCGAATGAACAACCGACTGTTACGAGAACAATCGAGTTACGTTCGGAGTCGTAATGATTTGGGGTTAAATAAACTATATAAGGTTTAGCGATAAGAAAACGTTGCATCGTGCTATCAGACACGTTGTACTATATGCAGAAAATAAAAATTAGAATGGGAATATAATTCGAAACGTAAAATGTTTATCAATCTTTTCCGTCTTCTCTTAATTATAAGATTGTTAAACTTATGACACAAAATGTTCAATTATTGCAATTAGACCGGAATCAATCAAATTATACTTGAAATAATTTCCAATTATACTTTCAAATATGCTGTACTTATTGCGTTACCAAATACCACCATGACGAAAATTAAAATTAATTCCGAGTTCAACCTGGAGAACGTGTGTCAAATGATAATAATCTCCCCGTTTGTATGTTTTCTAACAAATCATTTTACTTTGCCGAAATTCAACTACGCTACACGGTGTATTTTACTATTGCGCCGTGGTAATCTGGTTATATAAGAAAAACCAGAAGATTCGCTACAAGAGCAACTAAGAAATGGTTCCAAGGTTTTCAATACGTCGCATTAACGATACACGTCAATATTACTCTTACCTCGATTGTGGCCGTGGCACGCGTTCTCTGTATATTTTCTGCGGCGTACGAGGTCACCCTTAAGCCACGAGGAATTCACGCAAAGTAATCAAACATGCAGGCTGTTAGTATGTATTTCGCAAAAAAGGTGGCAGGTTAGCGTAACGTAATTAGGAGCACGGGTGCTGCTGTCGATGCTGTCGAGTGTGAATTTCGACTGGGGGATGCGAGGTGGCGCGAAATTCGGCGGACGCGATTAGCGGACGAATGTTAACGTCCGTTTGTTAATTAATACGCGCGGCATGGTCGCGCGAACAATACGCGCGTCGAACCCGCCAATTCAATTTCGACAAGCCGGATTAACGCGTCGCGATGGATCGACATCGGCTACCGATCACCACGTCAACACATGCCTTTTATTAATCACCCTCCGGTTTCGTTAATTATCCCTCGTTACCGAATCGCCGCGGCCGCATCTGCGCCAGACCTCAAGACGAAACAAGCTTGCGATCGATATAGATCTCGTTACTTATGACACTTAAATCTTTAATTGATTCTTCTTTGGAAATTAGAAATAAAGTGGGTATCATAGGACTGAGCGTAGAATTATTTTGGAAAATTAGGAATTGATAAATTCCTAGTTGTTTGTAATTGGCGATGCTTGCGAATGATTAACAGATTCATTGACAGTCGTCGGTACCTCGATATATATTTGAAATCATCGGTAACAGTGAAGAACTGAGTTTTGGGAAAATTTGTTGGGAGATTTTGAAAGGACGACTTGTACAGTTTTGTAAGAATATTTAAAAATGTCTAACGTTACATCAAAGTTATTGGCTATTGTACAACAATATTTGCCGTCAATACCGACGAAATTGATTTTATGTGTTTTACGTTTCATTGACTCTTTCTGTTTTTTTAAGTTTCTTTCTATTTCTCTCTATGACGAGTAAATATTGCGCAGATACGTTTTATCGTAATGTTGTGTAATCGGTTATTGCTCGTTTAAATATTTCGGATTCTCACAACCTCTCGAATCGTGTAAGAGATTCGTACATGTAAAAACGCACGAACTTGATTCTCATTTTTTTCTTTCTCGAAAGCTATTACCACTTATCAATGTTTGTCGGCAATTATTGACTTTGATCGATATCTTCGTCCGATAATCTCGGGACGAATTCAATCAAATTCAATTTAATTTGTTCCAATTAAAGACGACAACAAATAATTTCCAATCGAAACGCACGATGAAAAATAGAACACCGCGAATCGGCTTATTTTTCACCGCAAGTTCTCCGAACGTTCATTAGCCCTGCACATCCATCCGAACGATGCTATCCGATCGACGATCAATAACAGTCCAATTTCCGTCGCGCAAATGCGAATCTCTGCCACCCGCCACCTGTTATATCATTCGCGAAATTACGAGATCCGGGATTATTAGCGATTCAACCATCGAAAATTCGCTACGTGCCGCGATTTGACCCGTCCACTGACCGATCGCGCATTGACGAATTCGCCCTGATGACAAATCGCGTCGCACGTGCGACTAACTGATAGCGGCGCGAGTTTCTGTAATTCCCCCGCGAACCGAAAGCCACCGTTAGCCGATTAGCGAACGATTGCGTTCAGTTAATTAGTGCGTACCGATTGTCAACCTGCAGCCAGGATTTCCTCTCCCTTTATTCCAAATTTGTTCACCCGGGTTGATTTCCCCTCAACGCTGCGCATTCCGCACTTGTGTAATTAAAAACAATTGCTTCGATTCCAGTTGAAACTTGCAGTTTGAAAAATTCAGAGTCGCAGTTTCTAAATTTTTTTTTACTTGATTATCTTCTTTATCCTCTCGAAATGTTCTATCTTCGGTATACTCTGTTCTATGTAAAACACATCACTTGTTGCGCCTTTATTTAAATACTTTTGCAGAGTTGAATCCAGAATTGAGTACACATTGAATTGAATATAAACGCGTTCTAAGAGAAATTTGCAGACTATTCTATTATGAAAAGGAATACACATATTTATACTTTTTAAATTAATAAAACCAAATTAATTTAAAACCGAATAAATACGTGGTTAAATTGGAAAGGATGAGAAATTTGTTAATTATATATCGTTGCTTTTCTGTTCAGGTTAAGGGTTCACGGAAATTATGTATTTTGAGGAAGCTAGGAAAATTTGCGGCAGAACAGAATTGTTATCTCGGTAAATAATCTTTAGCAACAACGTTACAAAGCTCGTTCGTTGCGTAAATTTTCACACCCTTTCGACGAAAGAAACATACAAATTTCTAATTTACCATACGAATTTCTAATTTAATTTCAAACAATTTCTCAGTGGCTTTTCTGAAAAATTTGTTAACGAGACATTGCGTCACATTTCGTAAATAACGTTCGGCAGGCGAAAAAACAGAAGAACGACTGCGTTCTGTGTGATCATCTTTAAAAATCAAGGTGCTTGGCAAACTATTAAACATTACGCCAGACGATAATAATTTCCCTGTAACCTATCTTTGTCTCGCCATGTTCCGAGGCACCAGTGTTTAAAAACGGCTTGTTGCATGGTATAAATTGTATATACACGTCGAAAGAGAAATTGGTCGTAGCCAAATAAATAAACATCCATCTGAAAATGGAAGCGCTGAACAAACGCCAATCTTGATCGTAAATTTCGCGTTGGTAATGACGCTATTTATTTAAATAGTCGATATCTTTGTATAGTTCCCTTCGCGCCACGATTCTCAACTTTTCTCTCTCTCTCTCTCTCTCTCTCTCTCTCTCTCTCTCTTTCTCGATGTTCACTAGAACTAATTTCTCAACGCTTTCACGAGAAGAGATTGTATAACTTTCGAGTTCTACAATGTTACACAATTCCACAATTCGGTGTAAATTTGGTAAGTCGACAAGTTCTAAAATTCGTTGTGAAATTATTCGTTGCGACGTGTATCTTTCCGCTAGTGTACAATTTTATTTTCGGCCGTGAGATTGAATAACTGGAATATCGTTGAATTCAAAGTGGGAGCGATATTTAACAAATGTTTCCTAGTGTTCTCTATTTTTTATCATTGTTACTTCCAAAAAATATCACCCAGGAAGCATTCCAAGTTAAGCGCGGTTTCGTTGGTTATCGCTGTATTAGGTCATTTTTTCCAACGGCAGGACACGTGTCCAGTTATGGAACACGAGGGACATGGGCGTCAAAGGAAGCAGCTAGTGACCTCGAGAAACAACGTTTCTATTTAGGGCAGATGATAAACCGTGCTCCAGGATGCAGACTGATAGAAAGCAGTGCGCGCGATTTAATTCCATTGAGATAGATGCCCATTCATGTTCACATTGTATAGTTCATTCTTGTGTTTCTCTGTACTGCGCCGTTAAAACTCGTTCGTTGCTCGTTGGAATTTGATTAGCTAACAATTAACTACGACTAGCTAATAATTTGCGCGTCACGTGAATTTTACACTATCATGTCTTTGAATCGACGCGTCAATCTCTAGAAATACAAAGTATCTATTATCTAAATGTAATGCTGTGTAATTTGGCAATTTTATATTTCTAATGAGCGTAAAACCACCGAGTCATATCGTTCGTTTGCGAATTTAAAAGCCGTAGGTATTAATTTTCCATTGCGCATCTATTCAACGTAAAATTTCAACCTAGATTCAAATCGAGTAACTTCGTTCGTAGGAACATTATGAGAAACGTGACAAAGAATATTTCGACGAATTATCTCCCGTTAGAATGTACTCTCTTCCCGTTCCATTTTAACACAAACGGCTACGCTTACAATGCTTTATATCTTTGTTGTAAATGAACCTCATTGTTCCAGGAAGCAGGAATCAACGAAACATCAGAATAGTGGTATTTATCTGCAGGTTTAATTAATTTCGTGTTGATTAGCGATGTTTTCGGTTCGTTAATGTAATTGGGTCATTAGATAACGCTTTCGAAACTGTGGCCGCGAGTCCGAAGCGGTCGTGGAGCGGATGAACGACGCTGATTATACGCTGGAAATAAATGAAGGCGAAAGACAAAGAAAAAAAAGAAAGAAAGAAGAGGGTCGCCACTGTCGAATACCGCGATACACGCGTGTTACAAAACAATGGCAGCAAGCTGTGTAAAACGGTTACGTTTTTGACGTGTGATAAAGATTTGAGACATTTCGCTTATTGTGGCTTACTGTGGAAAACGAGAGTGGAATGGTACGGTGATGCGTCGGTGGAGAAAATAGCCCAACGTTAAAAATGGCGTACAGCTACAATGTCGAAGAAGTACCACACGACGATGTTCCCTGCATGGAGCACGATATACGACGTGCGAAAAAATTCCTTCAGAAACACAGTCCGGAGTCAGGTGATAGCCTGTGAGTACGCGAATTTGAAACGCGGCTTGTTCCACCGAGAACAATTGGCCGATCGGGCAATCGTAGAACGCAGAAAGTATATAATTCTCATTGTTAGTCTGAGAAAATGATAAATAATTTTCTCAGTCGGAGCAACTAAAATTAGAGATTAAATTTTACTTTATTTAGAAGTATAATCTTCTTTTATCGATCTTATAAGAAAACGTTTCATGAAAATTCGATTATTTCAGTGCTCGATTTATTGTTAAATGAAGATGACACCTTGGTTCTGAATCGTTTCCATTACCATTATTTTTAAAGACACAAAGCAACGCAACGAAAAGGAATTTGCTTGGAAATCTTTTTGAATTCCAAACTATCCCCAGGTACGATCATCTGACGGAAGTGTTGGCCAAGATACTGGCCGAGAGGCCAAAGAACGCGGTGGATATATTCGAGGAATTCAGCAGAAGAGTGAAGGAGGAAAGATTCAAGACCAAGTCCCATCATTTTCGAGATGTATACGTTCCACCGACGCAGTCCGAGGATGCGAAAAAGATCATCAAGCTGTTCCAGGTGCGGACAACCGACAATTAACAATTAACCTCGGGATCCGTGATTTAGCTGTCGTATAAATAATAACGCGCATCGTGAGAAACTTGATCGTCATTCGACCCCGTGGTTCGAGCGTCCCACTGAAATTGCAGAACGTTCAGAGCATCTACGAAGGCGAGGGAGAAAAGCGTGAGACAGAAGACGAAGAGGAAGAAGGGGATACGAGGAAGAAAATGCCGAATATGCTGGATCTTTTATTTTATTTCGAACAGACTAACGTGGGGTTACCTCGGTCACAGATGGTGCTGCTTAATTTGTCCATACGAAAACTCATCGCTGAGTCTCCTATAGAAAATGTCAAGTATATGTCAACAATTTTATCTTCAGTACAAAAGAAACAGCGCAGTTCTTAAACTGCGTGATAAATTTTGGAGAAAAATCCTCGATAAGTTCCTACGAAATATTTCTAAATTAATAATTTCGCATGATAGATTTTGGGGAAAAGTCCTTGGAAGTCCGAAAAATTATTACGTAGTAGAAGCGGATTTAAAACCCGAAGAATTAAACAACAGATTAGAGGTAAAGAGATAAACAACTCGAGAAACGAAACGTTTCTCCATTTTTTCATAACGAAATAACTCATTACTTCGCTATCACTGTGGCATAATTTAACTGGCCATAAAAAACATTTGCTTGAATCACGAGCAAATTCATTTCAGAAAGAAAGAGAGCAAAGCACTTTCTGAATCACGTCCTCCGCGTCTATAGAGAATGGCGGAGGAAGAAGAACGGAAGCGTCAAGAGGAACAAATGAGAACGGAAGAGAAGGCAAAAGTCGAGAGAGAGGCTGCTGAAACCGTGGAACGAGACGCGGCGGAGGAAACCGAGGAAGCAGCAGGGGCAACGGAGAAAAAAGACCAGGAGGGTTTGAAGCTCGTCTTTCCGCCTCTGCCTACTCATTCGTGGGTGCCACCACCGGAAGTACCTCCGGAGAGAATCGGAACTGGCGCGAATGCCAAGGTACGCTCCGTGATCTACTTTAATGTACAACTAAAAATAGCAGAACTGTTTTACCAAAGGAAAGAGATGAAAATTGTTACATGCGACTTGATCGAGCTTTATTCATTTTGTGGAAATTGCGACAAAATCTTTCGGTAGAAATATATTTTGATAAATATATCGTAAAGAGAGAGAGAGAGAGAGAGAGAGAGAGAGCAGATTAAAATTCACTGAATCTGTACATGTTGGTCGTTGGATATGAAGCACGTATACAATACACACACATAATGAGTGTATACATTTCATGTATACATTTCTGTACACGTATAAAAAGTTTCGATATCTCCATCATATTAACATTATTTATAATGCAACCATTAACTGATGATCCTTATTTATTAATATATCAATTATTGTTCATCTTTTATATTCCTTTCACAACGACTGTATATCTCCATCTCGTTTAACAATTATAAATTATATCTATTTCAAGAATGTAAAAAGATCTCGTGCAGAAATCTAGGAACACAATGTCACTACACATACGAGCTATAGTTTCTGGTTGGTAACGATCGAACGTAACGATATCATTAAACAACGTTTCAATTAATCGAAGTGGAAACGTGGAAAACATCGACGGGATTCAAAGCGCGGCGTTCGACCGAATTAATATGCAACGCAAAACATGGCGCGTGTTTTCCTGAGCGTGATCCTGGTGGTCGACTTTGTTCCAGGTGTATTTTGTATGCAACGAGCCCGGTTTGGACAAGTGGATCGAACTGCCACCGGTTACGCCGCAGCAGATAGTAATTGCACGACAGATTGTCCGTTACTGCACAGGAAATTTGGAAACACCGGTACGTGTTCATTCCTTTGCAAGAAACCCCCCAAAAAAAAAGAAAAATAGGAAAAGGCACAGAGAGAAATGGAAAGACAGAAAACATCAAAGATTGGAGAGTCACGATTGCATTTTCGATTTATAGATTCACACTTTCCCACCGTTTCCCGGTACAGAAAAGAATTATCTTCGCGCGCAAATAGCCAGAATCAGCGCGACCACCCAAGTCTCGCCGATTGGATTCTTCACTTTCGGTACCGGAGAAGAGGAGGAAGAGTTGATGGAGGAAATGGAAGAAGGTATATGTTACGTGTCTATCTCGAGGAAAAATCAAAAAAGAAAGATCAGCGCTATAAATTATTTGTATGGCCAGTTGCTGTTTTATTTATCACGTAGTTTCTTCGAAGCACTTTAAAGACTCGTTTTATTAATCATAAAACGGAGATTTTTCCAGCTTAAGGACAATGTTCCTTACGTGTCATTTGTTACGGTTATAGGTGGAGTGTTGTCCGAGAACGTGCATTACGATCCTTTGCCTATTAAGGATTTAATAGACCCTTCTATGTCGAACTGGTGTCATCATGCACCGTATCTTTTGAAACAAGGCCGTATCGTATGGTGGAATCCAAGTGGAAGAGCAGAAGATGTTAGTTCATATTAATTAAAAAAGAATTATTCATATCTCATTCTTTAACGACTAATGTTCTAAATGAAATGGAAGAAAATATTTATCACAACTTAAAATATTACTATTGGATTTAGGAACTCGGAGAGGAAGAAGAAATGGATGAAGAAGAGGAAGAAGATGCAAAAGCTCGCGTTGAGAAAGAGGTTGGACCACCACTTTTGACACCATTGTCAGAAGACGCTATTGTGGACGGCATAACACCGTGGAGAGCTTTGCAATCGTCTCGCACCCAACCTGATCAAGCAGTCGCATTAATTAGATCAAACGTTTGGCCCGGAGCGTTCGCGTTTGCCTGTGGAAAGTGCGTGCACACTAGACCCCTGTTCAATAATGATTTTCCATTAAGCAGACGTATCTGTGATATTTATGTGGCCGACAAGTATAAATTCCCCTTGGGATATCGAAGAAACAGCGCGGCGAGCTCGGCAGCGAGGGGACGGTTTTATCGTGGAGCGAATCAACCGGGAAAATAGGAATTATGGCGCGTTAAAGGAAAATTAATGGGCGGGAAATTACGCTAATGTTACTTTAATGGTGTCCTCCACAGGCGTTTCGCTAACGTGTACATCGGCTGGGGTCACAAATACATCGCGTACAATTACAGCCCACCGTTCATGCCACCTGTGCAAGATCAGTACAAGATCGGTCCGGAGATTATGGAAATTCAAGATCCTACCTTCGAACAAGAGGAGGCCTACAGAATTTCCCGATTGCCGCCTGAGCCAGTTATACCGATGGGTAAAATCAATAGAATTAATTGTATAGGGTTGAGGAGACTTATCTTCTGCATTATGTGACAGAAATTTATATTTATAGGAGAGGAAGAAGAGGCAGTGGAAGAAGAAGAAGAGGAAGAAGAAGAGGAAGAAGATGAATAATTTAAGTGACATTATTGACAGAGTCTAGATCAAGATCCAGGTTTACCGGTAAAACAGATGCATTCGGCTGTTGGTATTCTTGTAATTCTTGACATATCAACAGAGATTATCGTTATTTCATATTTATGAAAAAATAACATTGCGATGTATATGAATACTGGACATGGAATACAGTAACATTATATATGTATATATTATAATTAAATTTAAAATTAAAGTAACTAAAGTCACGGATGAGGTATATGATCCTATGGGAAGGCCTAGCCCGTGATCTGAAATACCGACGTACTAAAAAAAAAAAAAAAATCACTGGTTTCCAGCGCACTCTACGTTTAAACAATTATGATTTAGGGAACTACATCAAGTAAAACGATCGAAAATGGTCAAGTAGTAAATGCGCCAGAAACATGATTTTTGAAACCCATTACAGTGTACCCGCGAACCCACGATCGATTCTGTAATTTGTACTTGAAACAAATCTAAGAAAGTTAAAAAAGATTAGTAAAATCAGTAAAATATAACTATTACTTACAGATGGATGAAACATCATTTTGTTGTAACAATTTTTTCCACTTCGTCACTTTCTTCGATTCATATCCCATCTTTCTAAACATCTGCTCATATCTATATATTTTCTGTAACTAATACTCTGTATAAGTTAATCTATCTGAAACAAACTTATATATTGAATTAATATTATTAATTTAAAAAAAAAGAACAAAATAAGTTAATATTTCATTGTAATGTTTAAATATATTGTTGCAATGCTTTTTTGACTTTATTTTATGACACATGAAATCAATTACACTTTCATACATGTGAATATATTAGATTTATAAAATTTAACAAAGTTATAACTAATAAAAAAAATATATATTTTTTAGCAGTATTTTCAGAAATAAACGCATTGATAAGGGGTGCTGAAAAAGAAAACCTAACACAGTAACCAAAAGGGTTACTGCCAAAGAAAATCTGAAACAACTGAAAAAGAAATCGCGATACAGTAGTCAGAAGGACTACTAGAAAAACATTTCCTACTTAATACAATAACCAGAAGGGGTATTGTCAAACAGCCGACAGGAACCCGAGCAACAAATTGTATCTTGTTTCGCAACACTAATTCACTAGCATTAATTGTAAAATAGAAAATTCTCAAAATCAAACGCGAAGAGTGCGCTTCGTCATATTTAAAACTTCCAAAAGTAAGTACGCAACGCTATTAATCTATGCACTCATATTTAGAAATACGCAACACTAATTACGTTCAGTGCAACCATACTGGAGGTTGATGACCACCTCTGTACAGCTCTTGTAGCTGCATCAGGTGATCCAGGAACAACAAAAACCTTCTACGAGTCCAGTAGAAGAATTTGGGCATTTTGTAAACGCAACGCTATTTCAAGGAAGACGATCATTCATTATCGCAACACTAAGAGTAAAAATAATTAGAAATCGCGATGAAATAATGTCGCAACACTAACTCTAAAACCAAATTCAATGAAAATTATTATCAATAATACAAAAGCTACGAAGAAAAAATTACTTTGGATATTCTAGCAGTCTAAAATTAATTAATAATAATGGTTCTATAATATAATTTAAAACAACAGAAAACAAGATAAATTTATACAACACTGAGACAACTATGAAAATTAACAATCAAAATTGTAAAAAAACAATCGCGGTATCATAATTCACAACCCTAAAGCAAACACGATTATCGTTTCTCCGCAACTCTAATTCAACCCGTAATCAATCTTTCGCAACGCTAAAAAGAAAAACCACGATTTGCCCAAAACGATGATAAACGATGATGAAAAAAAAAACAATACAACTACAAATACTAAAAGAGCATAGTGACAAAGTAGTAACGAAAATGACCTCCCATGCTCTGGAATCATTTAAATGATCCAGAGGATCAGAAGCCATTTGCTGTGACCCTCTTCGTGACAGTTTGCCGGGCCTCTTCAGCTTTTAGCTTTTTCTTTCTTCGAGCGCAATGCTCGCTGAAACTTACGTCTAGCTCGAGTCTTTCTAATCGCAAACCAAAAAATAACTTATAAAGGTGAAATGAAAAGATAAATCGCGAAAGCTGAACTCAGTACACATGGACGATCATCGATCATAGTGATCGTTGTCCGTTCGCATGTGCGTGCTCGAGCAATACCTATATAAACGTTCGTTTCGGGACCTACTCGCGACCTAACCACGACCGCGATCGCGACACTAAATTCGAAAAATCGAAGAGTAAAACCAGAAACAAGTGGTATGCTCCATTTGTACCAATTTCACTGTCGATTTTTCAAATTAGATTTCCTGAAACAGGTTGGACACGCGAAAAGGGGACACGCGACCAGAGACTGTGCCAACCTGCCCGGCCCTACCTACTTATAATTAAACACAGGCATACCAGAAAGCTACCTATCCTAACCAGTCGTCCTATATTTAAAAAATGGCAAAACAGGCACACCAACACACTCACTCCACGGTTCTCACACATACCACTCGGGCGCAGACCTAAACTAGAGAGGACGTCCCGGNCCTCCGACACCCGAGCTTAACACGCAACTTTCACACTCTAATTTACGTACCATTTTCCTGAAATCGACTGACAGTGGCTAGCGACCATTGCGTAAAACGTGATTAAAACACGTTTATATTGACAATGAGACATTATTAGACAATTAAGAAAAAATACATATAATTTCTATATAAATTACATGTGCAAGTTGACTTGAAATCATTATTATAACTGATCGTATAATTAATAATATAATTATAGTGTATTTAATGAGTATTATTATATAATAAATTCATACTTCAAATCAGTGCATAAATATTTTATATATATCAACTTATAATGAATGGAACAATAAAAACGACGTAATTCCACATCCTAACCACACACACATGTGGAAAATACGTCGTGCACGATACGCTGATCTACTGTCAGTCGCTGGGATATTTTTTATAAAATTACAGACTATGGTCATCGTGCCCAATGTCTTTCACTCACCCAAGTAGCACCTGGGCACGTGAGTGAGATCCTGACAATGAACACGGAAGAGATTAAACCTGAAAATCCTGAACTAAAGAAATAATTAGTTTATATAATTTGTATATAACGAACTATTGCATTATTTTATTTCAAACTGTAATGACTCTACTCTTTTAGAAATTATTGATTATATAATATTATTACAAAAAAGTAAAGACAAAGAATTGAATTTATTAAAAAAGATATGAAATCTAACAATTGACTAAAACAATCAAAACCAAACAATTGACTCTAAATTAAATGTTAATAGAAACAATCTCAGGTGATTTCTTCATCAAAGCATTTTAGAAAATGCGAAAGCAGTGTTCAAACTTGTTGCCTTGACTCAAAAATCTGCCTGTCGCGAAATATCTCCTTGCACATAAAATTTCATACATTTTTCTACGGAAAGAATTCTAATCTATTATAGATTTCAAATTGTAGTAAAGTTCATAATTATAAAATTCAATTAATTAAATCATTTAATACTATTATAAAAGCGAAGATGAAGTTGGAAATTATTAGAAGTTTTAGTCAATATATCAATAATAACTGCATCTTTCACAGGAGCGAAGTCGGAGGGTATCCGTTTTCTCTACTACGAAATGCTCAAATGAAATCATTTTAATAATAATTATTTATAATTTATCTATTCACATGAATATTTCGCTTTAGCAAACATTTATATTGAATATATTTTGATTTTACAAGTAATTACTATAATTGTATGTATTCAAACTAATTGTTAAAATCGCGATGTGCAAGAAGCCCTATCCTGATCTAATACATAAAAAACTTGAAGAAATGTTACTACTCTCGGATATTAAAAATATCCGAGCTCACTATGCTCATCAAAAATTCTACGTATACAACCAGTCACCCTTGCCGATTCGGATCTTTCATCCTACGACATGGTTGAGTGACCAGAGGAACAAAAATGCATGCGACTCACTGCGAAGAACGATATCATCTGCACTGGATCAAGGAAAGTCGTCGTGAACATCCTCATCAAGCAGAAACCACTGAGAATCCCATGGTGAAAGTGAACACCGTGAAAAATTTCTTAAAAAACATAAAACATTTTGTTCCTAAAGACACAGTGTTATTTGTGAAAATTCAAATTTAAATAATGATAAAAATTGGGATAATAATTTGAAATATTTTTATTTTATTACATTAATTATAATTTCATATTCAACTCCAATAGAAAAAGAATTATAAACAATAGAATTTAAATACAACGTGCTAAAGTACTTACATTTTTGGCTTTTGAAGCATCATAAGATTCTTCGAAGATTAGGGGAAGTGAAAACTGTAGAAAATCTATAACAAAACATTAAACATTAGAATTTATATTTAAAAACAAAGCAAAATCTTAAGTTGGAGATAATAAAAAATTCTTACATTCTTGGCTTTAGAGCCACTGTTAAATTTTCCTCAAAAGGATGCAAAGAAATTTATGTTGTAAAACATCTGTAATGTAACAAACGTCAAAAATTATACTTTCTTGTTAAATTTGAAAAATTGAATAAATTAAGATACAATATATAAAACTACTTACGATCTTGATTTCCTGAAGAGGCCTTATCCTCTTGAATACTGACTCTAATACCGAAAGTGAATATTGAACAAGAAAAAATACAAAAAAGAAAAAATAAAAGATCATCAACGCGCGCGTTTAAGTAACAATCAGCGGACTCACTGACTCTAACTTCGCGAATTATAATTTAAATAAATTGATAATCTAATTTAATGAGACATTTTGCTCAGAAAAATATTAAAATATTGCACAACAAACACTGACCCTACCGACCGCATTGCGCACGGTCACAAACATTTTCTGAAAATAAAGCTGATTAGTGAGAAGAGGGCGAAGGATATGTTTATTTAGAAAATACTGCTATTTTTTCTAGAGTAAGATCATAAAAAAACTTGAACATGTATTAAAGATATTAGTTGTAAATTATAAAGTATTTCTCAATACTGAATACTGTAGATAAAAGACGATTATTGTATTCTGAAATTATACTCTGAATGCTCAGAATAGGAAGTATGTATATTAGTTATATATTACACGTTATAAATTTTCAAAAATATAGTATGGTACGAAAACTTAGAATTTGATAATCTAACACAAGAATATATATCCATTTGACAGTATACATATACCGTTAAGCTGATATATATTCAAATAAAATATTAATTGACTTAATGTTTTCTGTTTTCATCTTTATTTTCCAAATAATTACGAAATTATGTATTGTAAATTGTATCTCAAATATATATGAATTGTATAAATGTTATCCAAAATGAATAAAACGTTGTCAAATTTCCGTGAAAGTTCATCAAATTGTATTAACGATCATGGCATCTATCCGTTCTATGCTACCTCTGCAATCAAGGAATTTCACTGCATAACCTGCACAAAGAAAAACCAACAGTCAGAACAAATGTGTCAAATGAAGGCAAACGTGTAAAAATGACATGATAATCAACTTCAAATTCTATTGAAAAGACGTACAAGATAATCTGCCGGTAACCATACGAATAAAATCGACGATTGAACAAAAATTGGCATGAAAACTTTCAAATCACTACTCGATTTCGTTATCTTAATGCTCAATGAATCGTTAAACATACGTGTATTAATTAAATGATAGTATTAATGAGATGTAAATGGAAGTAAAAGAGTATCGAAAAGTGACGCCATCAATAGGTTAGAAAAATTACGAACTGTAATACGTGTTGTTATCGCGAAATTCTACAACCGAATGACTCTCCGCCACACGTCTCGTCGAGCAATTGAGAAAATAGGAGGGGATAGGGTAATCCTAAACGAACAGGTTCGAACAGGTCCGACAAATCAAAACAAGAGCCTTATACACGTAAGCGTTATGTTTATGTTGTCAACTTTGAGTTCCGAGCTTCAAAGCCTTCTACGCCTTATTTTATTTGAGAAATGAATAATTTTATTATATTACGCAGCAAAATTATTATTTTAACTATTGAATACGTACATTCTTAATAAATTATTGTTAATTAGTATTAGAATTATTGTTAAATTTAGTATTAGAATTGTTAAGAATTATGCAGAATAAAGTTAAAGAATCAATAAATTAGTAGAAAATGTTATAATAGAAGTGTGTATGCAAAAACATATAATAAAATATGTATATATAACAATATATATAACAATAAATTAGTCAATTACAATATTTGTACTGGTCAGAATTGAAATTAAATTTTGGTCTGAAATTATAAATAACTTTTAGCATATTATGTTCTATTTAAATGTTTATATGCTATTATTTCTTTAATTGTTGAAAATTATTTGTAATAATTATTTAATTAAATCTTACCTTCAGTTGAAGCTAAAAATGCATGTTTTATCTTAAAAATTCAAATTACAAACACAGATCTAACAACTATTAATTTAAATTTTTACCTGAGAACTTTTAGATAATACTTCTTTCTGAATAATACTTCTTTCTGAATAATTCTTATAAGATAGTACTTTCTCCTTTACAGACGAGATGTGCTTCCTTCCGCCATGTTCCCGTTTTAAAATCGATCGTGAGAAATATCGATATGTTCGAGAATCATAGGAAGTGTATTCCGTATTTCACCGTTGGGGCGCTGTGATCCCGCGTTTTGCAAGAAATAACAACTTGAAATAAAAAATTGAAATAAAAAATCATGAGAAATTGTTTTTGGAACGAGACGAATTGTAACAAGTATTGATAATTTTATTTTTCACAAAATTGCAACAACTATTGATAATTTTTCATTTAGTGTATGAATATTTTCATTCTTTTTTAAGAATTTCTCATATACCTCGTCTGTGGTAGGACAAAAAAAAAAATATATTGTATACTAAGTCTATTCATATACATATCTCGTTTGTGGTTGAAATAAAAAAATTCTTCATCGATCAGTTCTCAATTGATAAGATAGGAAACATTTGCTAGGGAATTTTGTTTTCTAACAGTTTAAACAGTTTCACATTACGATATATGCTATAATTGTAGTGTACTGTTTGTAATATTATAACTTCTAAAACACGAGTTTCCCGCCAAATGTAACATAACAACGTATGTTCCTTAATTGTAAACAATGGATATGTCTGAAGAAACACCGCAAAGTGAATATATATTACGACCAATGAATTGTGAGTTAAATCAACTTTCTATGCCTGATGGATCAGCTATGCTAATGCAAGGTAGGTTATGTTTGTTGTCAATGTTATTACTTATTTTACTAATAATTTTTATATATTTCAGGAAATACTGCAGTAATTGCCGGAATTTACGGACCAGTAGAAGCAAAACTACAAAAAATGATTTATGATAAAGCATCAGTTGAAGTATCGTACAGTCCTATCAAAGGTCCAACAAGTAAGTCAAACTAAATCTTTTAAATTAAAAATGGTTCAGTTGTTTAATAATATAATAATTTATGTATTAATTTTTCAAGAGGTGGATGATAGAATGACAGAAATGTATATCAAAGAAACATGTGAGGCTGCAATAATTGTTACTTTTCATCCAGCAACTGCTATATGCATTAATGTACAGGAATTAGAAGATTCTGGTGGGGTATGGTTTCTTTTATATTTCTAGCTTAAAATTATTTATGTTTTATATTAATAAATAACCTCTTTCGCAGATGTTGGCTTGTACAATAAATGCAGCTTGTTTGGCGCTTATTAATGCTGGTATTCCAATGAAATTTACTATTGCAGCAATAAATTGTATGATACAGAAAGACAGTGAAGATATTATACTAGATCCTGACAATATCCAATTACAGGTGAATATTAAATGAATATTTATATACTTCAAGGGGAAAAAATGAAATTTAACATATTATTTTATCAAATTATTAATTATTTTAGGAGGCCAAAGCAGAATTTACATTTGCATTTGACAGCATGGACAAAAATGTTATATGCTGTTATACTACTGGTTGTTTTACAGAGACAGAATTTTTAAAAACAATGGACAGGTGTAAACAAGCTAGCCAATATGTATTTGATTTCTATAGAAATCTTGTAAAAAAGTATGCAAATGTGATATAATACATATTTTTGGGGAATCTAGTTTTTTTTCTCAGAAGTGAATGAACCCGATAAAAAATGAGTTTTCCATTATAATAATGAGTAAGCTTTTTGTTTTTCTATTTGCTATTGTTTTTTATTTCATCTACAATAATAATATATAATTAGTTGATCTCTCATATAATTTCGAATCGTGAAAGATGAAGTATACATACAAGCAAATATCAAGTTCTCAACTACAGCTGATTGGTAATTGGCACTGATTAACAACACGTGTCAAACAACAAATTATATATTAAATTTTTATTTTTATGTTTTTTTCTTTATAACTATAGAATCGCGTATGTACGTGCTTATTTTTCTAATTTCTGCGGTTTAGTTAAAAATACATATGTATTGTCTTTACTTACCATTTTAAGCTATAGAGGGCGCAATAAAACTTGATCGGTATTTCAGAATGCGCTATATAAATACGAAAACCTGGAAGACAAAATTTATTCTGTGCTTCATTCGTAATTCTATATCGTATTTGCAATATTCGTTGAATTTGTTTCTGGCGCAATCATACCATTATGCCTGTGTTTCTGATGCATTCACTACTCGACCAACTTCAATAATTTTACTTGATGTAGTTTCTTAACTCATTGTTGTTTAAATATAGAGTCACAGATAAGATATATGAATAAACCTCGCCACAGACAAGGTATTCATATACTTCGTCGGTGCCAGTGATTTTTTGTCGGTATTTCAGATCACGAGCTATGTCAGATGCTTGGTGCATTCATGTATCTCGTCTGTGCTTCCGTTTAAAACTAACCGCTTCAGCTGCAGATGGCTCCACTAATTTCCCTAGAAGGTGCTGCACTCTTCCGGTAACTTTAGTCACTAATTCGTATTCGCAATTCGCTGTTCGTCGCGTTCAAATAAAATTTCGTTTTCGCATTGTTTTCGTGTTATAAATCATAGTTTAGTCCCTACTATACGTAAATTACACTATGTAATCAGAATGATTATTTGCTGCTGTCATTTTTCGCAATAGAATTCTTTATTACAATAATATTTCTCTTTATTTTCAGATAATCATTAGAATCACCTGGGAGACATTTGTAACCGCCATATTTCAAGTTCAAACGGCCGATGTTCGAAGATATAGGTTCGTTACAATCAGTTTATTATTTAATTACCTAGTAATTACACGCCTGTACGATCTTTTTTCGACGCGAACGTGTGCAATTGCATTAATGCGGTCGAAGTTATGTTATCGTCTCCTTAGATATTCTCGTGGAATATTTCCCTGTACATGCATAAATATCGAGAAGCAAATTGAAGTCAACAGGTGGCTTCTCCGTCGCTGTAGCGATATAACTTTAAGTTTCGCGGTCATTTATCATCGCATTCCATTAACTTACGCCGTAACAATCGGCGTTTCTTCGACGCAATTATGGTAAACTTTCGTGCAGCTTTAGCAAACTGTGCATATGCTTTTGTAATAACAGCAACCGTCGCCATCTTGTTTATCGAATACGATGAATTATCGTACAACTGTTTTGTTAGTTCCCTCTTCTGTCGTGATAGCTTGAGTGGCGCGACGAATCGCTGACTCAGCTGTGTCAATCATTTCCGTTGAGTTAATTCTTATGACTGCTTTCAGGAAGACTACGCGTTGAATAGTTCAAAATTATAGAATATACATTTGTAATCTATGTATATGCAGCGTATCAATTTATAAGATACCACGAAATAACCAACGTGAAGTTTGAAATTTACGAATCATTTCAGGCGATCGATCATATTCGCGCAATTTCGAAACAATGCGGCAATGCATACAAATAGACTTTGCCAATAATCTTTGCATTACCATGCAAGAGTAGATATGCATCGGTTATGCATGTTAGAGCTTCGTTAAAGCCGGTGCGGCATGTGGCGAACGTGACATCGTGGAATAAATAAAGTTACATAATATGGTGGAATAAATGCGCATATCGATGTCGTACCCGTCGCATTTGCATCCGCGCACGTGGTACGACATTTCAACTTATCGCCGTGGCGCGGCGCTATTAAAAACGAATGGCAACCAATTACGCGGGAATGCAATTGCGGCCATCTCCGTACGAAAACGATCGTTCGTTGCGATATTCGCCAGATCCGTTCCCCGAGTTTGATAATTGCTAGTCGGCCAATTATCATTCGTATCTCCGTCAGAGTTCGAAGTAAACCTGTCCGAAAGTAATTACGCTGCCGTGACTGAAATTCAACCGCGTTCGTACGTTCGTTCTCCGTTTCTGGAACGGCAACGAACGACCCCCTTAACATGCAGGATAACGAGGTCCATCCGCGATTCCGGTTATCGTTGCTAACTATCTTAGACTCTCTTCCACGGAAGCAAAGTGTACCTGACGTTGGTATAAGAAAAATCCTTGCAACGTCCTTGCTCGACGATTCGCAACCTTGTCCGTGGCTCTTCCTACGCGATTATCCGTGTTATCGACAAGCTTACAAGCGACCGACTGTACGCGTAAGCGCCTGTTAGTATATCGTACGTGTGTCGTCCAGCGTGGGTGACAGAGGAGAGGGTGGTGTTGTCTACGAAGGAGATCCTGAAGAAGAGAGAAACGGCAGACACGACGAAACGAATAGAGAGAGGTGGACGACGATGAGGGAGAGTCGAAAGGGATGCGAGAGAGGGAGAGTAAGGAGGAGTAAGAGAGACAGAGAGACGCGTAACATGAAATGAAAGGGGAGGGAGAGAACAGCTAAAAGGGGGGAGAGTAAAGTAGGGTGGGCGGCGACCGTTTCAAACGGAGGAGTGCCGTAGAGGCCGATAGGAACGAAGACCGTTGAGTTTGAGTCGAGGTGAGTGAAGCGCGGGCGTCACGACGACGTCGGCATCGTGGCTGGCCTCCGCCAATCCGTCCCTCAGCGGCCATGTTGCTCGTGTACCTGGGGCGGAGCGCCGTGGTTTCTGTCTTTTTACGCTCTCGAAGCTTCTCGTCCGCTCGCTCTTTCGTTCCCTTGCTCGCCTCCTTCTTCGCAAACCAACGTCGCGTCCTCGTCTTCTTATCGTTTCTATTCTTTTCTTTCTTTTGCCCTTTTTTTCTTTCTTCTGGTTCTTTTTCCTCCCTTTTTGTTTCTCCGCACCATGCTCCCCCTATCTCGGGACGCGTACCTTGTTCCTCTTGTTCGCGCTCGCGTTACACTTCTCGCAGTCGCGCTTCTTTGTAGCTTCTCTTTCTGCTCGGGCACCTTCTCCTTCGGGGGTAGCCGATCGCACCTGTGTGACTGGTGACGTAATATAGCTGGTATCTTGACCGCCAAGCGATCCTCTTCGCTCCGGTACAAGAACCGATCGTGTCACGGTAGCGCTGATCTTCGTGGTTTATGAACACTCCTTGCTCGAGTGAGTCTCGGCATTCTTTGGTTCGTTTAACAGTTCTATATAGAGTGGTGTGGTAGCAGGTGGTACATTTACAATATACTCCTATTAATTATCTTGGATTTATTACCAAATTGCTCATTCATTACTGTGATTTTTAATTATTCGTGTCAATTGTTATGCAAATGACTTAATATCATTCCTACCTTTCACACGCCGTCTCCTCCAACACGATTTTAAGCACCCATTTCCTACTATGCATTCACCTGAAATCGGATGTCCCGAGCTGAAACAACATCGAGCCAGGTAACCCGTACAAACCACAAATTTGCGATCAAGTCACCGGAATTTCACTAACTCGACTAATCCGGACGAGGTTTGATTGAAGAATTATACCCATCTCCGGCATAGCAAGCGATCGGTTCGCGTGGAATCTTCCACAGGGGGATTATTACTTAGAATCTGTCGCCTCGATAGAATCTGGAAGATATACGGGACGGGGGAACAACATCGGCGAAGTCGAAGTGAATTATTCGCAGCGTGGACACGAGCAATTATTAGGATGTGCGCAGCCACTCGAGTTTGCCTGCGCGTTGGTCCGTCTCTGCATGGCGGTTGATTTACACCGCGTTACCCGGCGCAACGTTTTCGCCTCGCGACACGGAAATAACAGCTCCGTACTTAACGCTTCGTTTTACGATTACGCGAATCGCGTGTAATTGCCGGCTGCGAGCTGCAGCCGCCAGCCACAATTGTATTTCGCCTTCGAGATCGCGTCAACTGTCCTATAGATCTTGGCGCGGCAAAAGAGAGTCGGGATAATTGCGCGAACGCGGATCCTGCCGGGAAACTCTGCAATTATGGGTACACGTACATGTCCTGCACGTACACAACGGCGTTTCTTTCTCGCGGATGGAATTCCATGGCTCGTTACGATCTCCCTTACAAATCAATTAGCCAAACACGAAGGTATCACCGAGGAAATCGAGAACGGTCACGTTTCGTTGCGCGATCATCTTCGAGAATTCACGTTTTTCATCTTTCTACGTCCTTTATTCTGTTGCACATTCGAAGATACGAAGGAAGGGACTACTTGGATAAGATGCACATAAGGGACTACTCTGATAAGATGCACACTTTCCGATATTTTATTTAATAAATTCTTTATAATAATAGACTGTAGTGCAGATCAAATTCTGATCAAGAATCGGGTTCAGCGAGTTCTAGGGAGATAATTCGAGACGTACCGACGATGTCGTTTGGTTTAAATATAGCGTTCCTTAACGTATTATCAACTTCTTTCCACAAACAGAGATAGTATAATTAAATATTATTCGGTCGACACGACAGCGCGATGACATTGTCCGGATTCTTTTTTGGTGCATCGTGGCTTACGAGCCAAAGATAGTGGATTGACAGTGCTAAAAGATACGATACGCAAACGTAGTGCAATGTATTTTACGTGTTTAAATTTATCTCTTCGAGAGAGAATTATTTGCAGTTAAATAATTTCACGAATGAGAACGGGGGTAAAAATTGGGGGAACGTTCTACGGTAGTAGCTCGAATTTAAGTAGGTAGTAATTTGGCCAATCTAGACGAAACTTCAACGATGCTTCTGCTATAGAAGCATAAAATGGCGAATAAAATTCAATTATCCGTACTT